GCAAAAGTGTGGCAGTATGGTGTGGGCATGACAATAATGGTCCCATCCTTCCTGGAGGTTTGCAATGGGGAAGGGAAGGTTTTAAATATTTAGGGGTGTTTTTAGGATCTGAAGAATATAGGAAAAAGAATTGGGAGGGACTAGTGGAGAAAACATGTGCTCGGTTATCTCGATGGAAATGGTTGCTCCTCCTGCTTATCCTATAGGGGTAGAGTTTTGGTCTGTAATAATCTCATTGCTGCTACTTTATGGCATAAAATGATGATATAAGAACCTCCAGAAGAACTGATAATGGACATTCAGAAGAACACTAGTTGATTTTTTTTGGTCCGGGTGTCACTGGCTAAAAGCACCAGTACTTTATCTGCCCAGGACGGAGGGAGGTCAAGGACTCATTGACATCAGATCTAGAATTAAAGCTTTCAGACTCCAGACAGCTCAAAGACTCCTGTATGGTGAAGAAGTGAGCTGGCGTGGGGTAGCCCATTGCCTCTTGAGAAGAGCAGGTAAAATGGGTTATGATCGTCAACTGTTCCTAATGGACATTAATAAGCTGGACTTAACTGGTCTGTCATCGTTTTACAAGTCAATGTTGAGAGCGTGGACTCTTTTAAAAGTTTGCAGAGATCTAAATGGTGAACAGAGCCAGTGGTTACTGGAAGAACCCTTGATCTTTAACCCAAAAATTGATTTGGATGTTCTAAAATCAACTTCTGTGAGGCATGCTTTATGGACTGCAAACATTGTAAAGATTGGACACTTATTGACTGAAGATGGATGGATTTCTGCAGAGACTCTGGCTACCAAGCTTGGCATAAGATCAGTCCGAGTTGTGCAGAGGCTGTTGAACCATCTTTATGAGTGTATGCCGGTGGACTGTAGAGACTCTTTATTTTTACGCAAAAAAGAAAATGCTGTTTCTTCTTTCCCAGAACTGGATGTTACAGCTGTGACTGGATTGTGGCAAGAAAGTGAAGGTGGCATTCTATCCTTTAAGACACCTCAATTGGGGAGTTTCAGAGACATTGGGAAAAAAGCTACTTATATGATGTGTGTAAAAGTTCTTCATCTTCATGCACTTGAAAATGTAAAAGAGACTAAATGGACAGAATGTTTTGGACCAGACTCTTCCCCGAAAGGTAGCTGGAGGACCATGTACAAGCCCCCCATTGAAAAAAAGGTCTGGAGACCTGCAGTGGCGCGTTGTACATGGTATTATAGCTACAAACAGATACAGAGCACATTTTGATCCACTAGCGGGGATGGGATGTCCTTTCTGTGAACAGCAAGAGACAGTTTTTCATTTGTTTGCTGACTGTAGTAGATTATTGCCTCTCTTTGAAATTCTTGGAGGCTGGTGTCAGACATTAGGAGAGGTTTTCACACTTGAGCTGTACATCTATGGACCTAAATATAAACGTAGTAAGAGGGAGATCTATCATCTACTTAATTTTATTTTCGGACAAGCAAAGTTAGCTGTTTGGCTCTCTCGTAAAAGTAAAATAGGTGGTATGGGACAAACTGATGTAGTACTGATTTATAAGGGTTTGATGAAGTCAAGGTTAAGAATAGAATTTGAATACTATCGACTGAATGAGAATATTGAAGACTTCAAGTTCAAGTGGGCTATAAATAACTGTATTTGCAATGTTGACTGGAATGGTGATTTACAAATCTATGTATAATATGATATGATGATAATGCTTGTAAAAAGGTTTATGGGAGGTTGTTATTTATTTGTTTTCTTTGTTGGCTAAATAATTGATTGAAGATTGTTTTTAAATTTTTGTAATTAAAGTTGTTCAAAGGTCTCTCTCTCTCTCTCTCTCTCTCTCTCTCTCTCTCTCTCTCTCTCTCTCTCTCTCTCTCTCTCTCTCTCTCTCTCTCTCTCTCTCTCTCTCTCTCTCTCTCTCTCTCTCTCTCTCTCTCTCTCTCACACCGACACACATTGTAAGTGTGCTGTGCGTGTAAGTAGCGACGTACCTATGCCAAGTAATTAGCGAATTTTGCCTACAGACCCTAAGTGCTTTAATGTGCATCGTCGTGTACTTTTCAATCAATAACTGAAGGGCTGTTGCCTGTTGCATCAAATGAACAAGTCACGGATTCCTGATGGCTCTTTGGCTTCAAATTACGTGCAGTAGCCAACAAAGGATCTTTAACACATGGAGGAACCTGTTTTGTTTTTACATCTTGATGTACCGAATTTAGCTTGTTCATTTTTCGTACCTCTGTACAGAATAGGCTACATCCTAGGCTACACTACAACGTTTCCATATCGCAAAGGTAGTCCTACTGTTACTATTTCATCTATTTTTCTATTTTAATTTATGAGTAGGCCTAATGATCATCACCAGGGATAATTCTGCAATTTTGACTTCAGTCAGGCAAGTCAAATAAAACTTAGATTAATTGCAACTAATGTTTACAGCGTAATGAAACGTGTTGAACAATGTTTTTTTTTATGTAGGCTTAAATAAATATATTTTAAATAATGACAAATAATTAAGTGTGAGATGATAAAAATCCTTTTAAAGAGAAATCCGCAACACTTTACAATAAGGTATCATAATAAATGCATCATAACGAACATCGAACAAACTATTTTTTTTACAGCATTTATTAACTTTTCTTGCTGTTAATACAAATGTTCATGTTAGTTCACAGTGCATTAATTAATGTTAACAAATATATATATATATATATATATATATATATATATATATATATATTAAAAACACTTGTAGTTAATGTTGAGATTAACATTAACTAAGATTAATACGTGCTGTAGAAGTGTAATTGTTTGTTCGTATTAAATAATGTTAAATGAAACATTATTGTAAAGTGTTACTGAGAAATATATACTTCATAAAACATTAACTAAGATTAATACATGCTGTAGAAGTGTAATTGTTTGTTCGTATTAAATAATGTTAAATGAAACATTATTGTAAAGTGTTACTGAGAAATATATACTTTTAAAAACATTAACTAAGGTTAATACATGGTGTAGAAGTGTTGTTAATTGTTTGTTCGTATTAAATAATGTTAAATGAAACATTATTGTAAAGTGTTACTGAGAAATATATATTTTTTAAATCTGCTTTTATAGGCTGACTACTGTATTCGTTTCGTTTTCGTGCATTTTTTAATCCAACGACAGTTTTCTATAAATTAATGAAGCTAAAATGTGACATTTACCATCAAGTAAAAAATACTTGAGTTAGAGTTGAATTTTGAGATGATTGTTAAGATGGGCTATTATATCTGATCTGAACAAAACGTTGTCTGTCTTCTCAGCCTCATGGTTTTCTTGTCACATGACAACAAAATAGCTTCCTGGTTACAATACAGATACAATACAGCCTAACTATATTTTAAACTGTTTATTTATAAATAAACAAATATAAATACTGTTTATTACGTTTTTTGTAACTAATAATAATCATAATAATACATTACTTGGGCCAATTATTATTATTATTATTTTTTTTTTTTTTTTTTTTTTTTTGCAAAAATGTAAATTCTATCACTAATTAAAGATGTAATAAAATCACACGAGTCTGTTTTCACCCGCTATAATTTAAACATCAAAAACATGATAATTGATTCAGTTGAATATGAGCTACAATTTATAAAGGCTATTCCACGTGCACGAAGAGGTCCCAGGAGCTCTAAAAGAATCATGCATCGACTTCAAATGATGAATGCAGCCAAGGAAAACGTGAAGAATGGAAAATTGCTGGAGAGAAAGTGGAAAATAACACAGGTAAGACTAATAAAAGTATCCTAAACATTTACCTGTCAAACTGTTGGTCAGGCGAAGGTGACTGGTTTTATTAAAAACAATTTATTTTAGGAAAAATATTGTTCTACTTATTGCACTTAAGACTGATAGCACATGCAGATCAAATAACAAAAAAAAAAACAAGCAAGTGACGATCAAATTATAGGATGAAATGCACCTAAGCGAGTGACGTCATTCCTTATGGTAACGTTACGCGGTTTGTATCAGAGTCTATGGTTTGTATCCATGGCAACGCTCAGCTGCGTAGTGAGACAGTTAACGGTCCTCCTCAGACGCCGCCTTGTGTTTTCTCTTTCGTCTGTCTAAAAGGTATTTTTAATTTTTAGATTATTATACATTAGTTACCATAACCACTGTCCATCTTTAAATTATATGAAAATGTTACCTTTTAAAACGTTTGCTGAAGTTGTCCGCAATGTACCGCTGATAACGTTAACCGTTATGGTAACACTAAGCTAACGTTATGTTAAGCTGAAATGAGACAATGTTATATTTCACATAATGGATATAAAGACATATAAAATCATAATACTACTGAATATGTTCATTTTGTTGTTTTAGGTAGATGCCAAAGGGGGAGAATTGCATCGGATTAGCTAATCCCACAGCTGACGAGAAACACACACACAGCTACCAGCGCATTTGAAGACACACACACACACACGGAAATAGCACCTTTACAATTGTTTCAATAAATAATTTACTTTGTTCCTTACACTGTGTCTGTTTTCTTTGGTTAGCCAGAAGTAAAATAAAATAAAATAATATTCAGGGAACTTAACGCGAAAGTCCCATAAACGTCCCGAATGGCCGCTGGTGGTCCTGGGAACGTCCTCTTGAACGTCCGGAGGACGTCTTCGTGAAGGTCTTCGCGGACATCAAGCGGACCCTACACGGGGACGTTCGGGGGGACGTTCGCACAGGCCATTTAGGGGACGTTCTGGGGACCTTTTTTTGTTAGCTGGGTGTTACGTTACTGTTGATCATCTGTCTATCATCCTATAAAGCCCGCCCTGACAATTTGATTGGTCCGAACAGCTTTGGTTCGGGGATAGTCGTGCAGTGTGAAAAGAACAGTGACCCGACTAACTTACTTTGAAAATCGTGCTGTGTGAACTCGGCACAAGAGTTTGTTTGTTTGTTTTTTAACATTTTGCATTGTTTTTGACACATTTATTTGCTTTTTTTCTACAGATGGGAAAATGTATGGCACTTCTTTCACTATTATTTATTGTCACTGTTTTTGGCATGCTGGTTTTGGTGTACATGGACAGTCCTACAAATTACATACACTACCGTCCTCCAAAAATAAAAGCTACTCCAACAAATAATAAACAAAAAATCCCGGAGGCTTCAAATTCGATAACGCCCATCAATGGCTCAAAGCATTTCATGGTGTCTGCGTTTATCGACCACAGACTGGACGGGGTCATTCGAGTCATCAGCATAATCAACAGAAACAGTCTTCAGCCACTTTACTGTGTTTACTGCAGCACTGAACATGACTGCAGAACTGTTCAGGCAGATGTCCAGATACACACAGACCATTTTAGCTTTCCGTATGGTGCCTCAGATGTGATTTGTAAAGGTAAACACATGCAAAATGCAACACATGTCCTCGTAACAACTGATGAGAAAGATTCAGTTGACCCCAAGATGGAGTATCTGCCAATTCAAAATAAGGTGGCAAGAGAGACTTTCAAGTTTAACTTCACGATTTGCATCTCCAACCTTTTTGGCAACTACAACAATGTACTGCAGTTTGCTCAAACTATAGAGATGTACAAGCTTCTGGGTGTACAGCATGTGGTCATCTATAAAACGAAATGTGGACCAGACCTGAAAAAGCTTTTAAAACATTATGAAACAGAGGGGATACTGGAGATTGTTTCATGGCCTATTGACAAGTTTCTGAACCCGTCTTTAGGCTGGAACATCAAGATGCACAAGGGCGATGTCCATTATTATGGTCAGTTAGTAACACTCAACGAGTGCATTTACAGGCACATGTATCAATCCAGGTACGTTCTCCTGAATGATATTGATGAGATCATCATGCCGTACAAACACACCGATTTACCACCTCTTATGGAGGATCTTCAGTCTGCTCATCCCAATGTTGGGGTGTTCCTCATAGAGAACCACATATTCCCCAAAACACAGTTTGAGGACAGTGGGAAGTTCAAACGAGCAGAATGGAATAATATTCCAGGTGTCAATATCATGGAGCACATTTACAGAGAACCTGATCGAAAGAACATTTTCAATCCCACAAAGATGATTGTCAACCCAAGGAAGGTGCAGCAAACCTCAGTGCATTCCACTTTGAAAGAAACTGGAGGTTGTTACCATGTACCGTTTAATGTATGTAGGATTGTTCATGTGAGAGTCCCACTGCAGGGGCATCTGACCAAAGACCAACTGTTTGTAGACAAAAGAGTCTGGGACTTTGAGCAAGAACTGATACCGAACATTGACCAGACATTGAAGCTTTCTGGTCTCCTGAATGTTTCCAGATAAAATGTTTGTATCAATGTAAATAAAGCCTAAACTGTATTGAAATGTTATATTTTCAAATAGGCCTAACTGTAGGCCTTGAAGTTTTCACTTAATATAAACCCAGTCACATGACGTTCAGAAACATTTTTCTCTTTTCATGTAGCTACTCATGGCGGAGCAAGTTAGTAAAATTAATATGTTTATAGCAACGTACCCAATAACACATGATTTGTTGCTGCCTTCGAACACAAGAGTGTGACAATACTTGTGACAAATGACTTATTATTCTGCAAAATAAAAATAAATAAACTGGTGACTGCATTACAGAAGATTATTGCAATCACACTATGTGTATGTCAAGCTAATGCTTCAAGCATAAATTACTGAATTTTGGGAAAATTAAAATATGTTATATGGATTTGTCAAAATAAAATATTTTGATACTCCGATATCAGATCTCGATAAAAAAAAAATATATTACTGGATAAGTAACCTATTGATATCATATTTGTTTAGTCAAAACAAATGTTGATGTGTGGATCTCTGTTTCGGCCTATAGCTCATAAATGCAAAAGTTCTTAGTGAAATAAATTTTGTATATGCAGTTATCTGTTAAAATATTTTTACAACCAGATGTGAACAAAAGTTGCAATGGATCAATATATAAATATTAGGTAGATACACATTATTATTACTATTATACACATTATTCATCAATTTTACTCTCCCAGCCACAGTGAAGTTATGAGGAGATAGATATTCCTTTTATTCCTACACACCTGAAAAGTTTTCTAGAAGGTACTTAACTAACAATAAGACCTTTCAGCTGTGCTGCCATTCTGGATAGCAGAATAATAGGATGCAGGAGAAGAAAGTGCAGCACTCTTACCTCAGCAACAAAAGAAAGACAAAATTGTTGTTTACTAAAGTCATTTTTGCTTATTTGTATGGTTGAATCGAATAATCAAAGGTCAGCAGCAAAGACATTGGTTAATAAAGTGAGATTAAATACATAAAGTATATTTGTATTATTTAACATAATTATTGCAGGTTTGTGCAATATTCTGAGTTTGCATTTCACTGTTTTTATTCATTTTAAGAAATACTTAATCTGTTTTTGTGATTAGTAAATGCATGCTTACATTACTGTAGTCTATAGCTACAATAACCATCATGTTTACACAGCGCACACCGCACAAACCTTGGCACCTCACTACCGATTTTGCTTATCTGCCTGGTTGAATCGGATCATTAAAGGTCAGCAGCAAAGACATTGGTTAATAAAGTGACATTATTTACATAAAGTATATTTGTATTATTTAAGATATATTTTAGAAAAAGTAACAGATATTTTGTTGTAAATTTAAAAGAAATGTGTTAATACTAGTTACTTGAAAAAAGTAATGATTACATAACTTGCATTACTTCAAGACAGTCTTGCTGAAGTTCAAACTAAGCATCAGGTGATTTAAGTGACTTTGAACGTGGCATGTTTGTTGCTGCCAGACGGGCTGGTCTGAATATTTCAGAAACTGCTGATCTACTGGGGTTTTCACGCACAACCATAGGACTGTTTATAGCCAGAAAAGAGCCATGAAAACCAGACTGGTTCGAGCTGATAGAAAGGCAACAGTAACTCAAATAACCATGTGTTACAACTGAGGTCTGCAGAAGAGCATCTCTGAATGCACAACACATTAAACCTTGAAGCAGATGGGCTACAGCAGCAGAAGACCAAACCGGGTCCCAGTCTTGTCAGCTAAGAACAGGAATCTGAGGCTACAATTCGCAAGCTCACTACAATTGGACAATAGAAGATTGAAGTCAGAATTTGGTGTAAACAACATGAAATCATGGATCCATCCTGCCTTATATCAACGGTTCAGGCTGCTGGTGGTGGTGTTAATGGTGTGGGGGATATTTTCTTGGCACACTTAAGTCTCCTTAGCAGGTCCATGTCCATCCCTTTATGACCAGTGTACCAATCTTCTGATGGCTACTTCCAGCAGGATAACAGGTTTTTGCATTTCAAATAGGGCCAATTTATGGGCTTCTCCTAGGCTTAAGTTTTTAAATTACAAAGGGCCTACTGATGTTTTTGTTATTGTATTTTCAATATTATAGGCTATCATTTGTAAATAAACATACCGTTTGTTTGAAAAAAAAACCCCATATTTTGTCATCCTTGCTGCAAGGTTACAAGAGCGATAATATCATTAAATGTGAAGGGGGGCCCTAAAATATTTTCTTGGGAAAAAGGGAGTCTCAGACAAAAAAGGTTGGGAACCACTGCTCTAAACTGCCTCGTCTCATCCAGGAGCCACACGTGGAGGTTCCAAAGATCGGGACGAGGGTGCCCCGTCCCTGAGAAAGGAGGTCCTTCCTCAGAGGAATTGGCCAGGGAGGTGATGTCGCGAGGAGTACAAGTTCGGAGAACCAGGTCCGGGTGGGCCAGTGTGGCGCGACCAGAATGACCTGCTCCTCGTCCTCCCTGACCTAGCGCAAGGAGGCTCACTGGGGGAAACGCATATTTGCGGCCCCACGGCCAGCTGTGCGCCAGTGCATCCGTGCCGAGCGTGCCCTCTGTCAGGGAATAATACAGGGCGCAATGGGTCGAGTCGTGAGAGGCAAACAGATCTATCTGTGCATCCCGGAACTGGACCCAAACCAGCTGAACCGACTGGGGATGGAGTCACCATTCTCCAGGGAGGGGCTGAAGCCGTGGGAGCTCGTAGGCTGCACAGTTCAGGGCTCCAGGAATAATGGGTCGAAGCGACCTCAGATGCTTCTGACTCCATAAGAGGTGGCGGGAGAGTTGCGACATTCGGCGGGAGCGCAGATCATCTTGATGGTAGATGAACGCTACTAACGCGGTAATGTCAGAGTGGGCTAGTACGCGTTGACCTTGAGCAACGCAAGAGCGGTGCAGAACAAGGCATACTGCCAGCAACTCGAGGCAATAGACATGCTAAGGACGCTAGGTCCTGTCCCGGAGCTGGCCCCAGCCCGTGGCGGAGGCATCTGTTGAGAACAACATGCCCGGAAGCTTGTTTCAGGGGCACTAGCCCGTAGAAACTGAGGTTCGACCACGGGGTGAAGGTCTGACGACAGGTCGGAGTAACTGGTACTCGGAGCACGCCGTGTTGCCATGCACCCCTCGGGACTCAGGCGCGAAGCCAAAGCTGAAGCGATCTCATATGAGCATTCTGAACGGCAATGTTGCGGCTACAGACGCCATATGCCCCAGGAGCTTCTGAAAAAACTTCAGTGGAACTGCACTCTTGCGCTTGATTGTCTCAGGCAAGTCAGCAGTGGCTGAGTGGAGAAGGCGACCAAGTCAATACCGAGAAAAGAGATCCTCTGCACGGGGCAAAGTTTACTCTTTTCCCAGTTGACCCGAAGGCCCAGACGAGCTAGGTGCCGGAGCACTGGGTCCCTGTGTTCACAAACCTGGTCTCGAGAGAGAGCTAGGATAGCCAGTCACCGAGAAAGTTCAGGATGCGGACCCCGTGTTCCCACGTAGGAACAAGGGCTGCCTCGATAACCGTTGTGAAGGCGCGAAGAGACAGGGCTAGCCCGAATGGGAGAACAACGTACTGATGCGGCGCCCCCTGACAGCAAACCGTAGGTACGGTCTGAGTCATAGGAGATCGGAGACATAAAAGTAGGCGTCCTTCAGGTCGATCGCTGCAAACCAATCCTGTGGCCGCACACATTCGAAAATGCGTTTGGCCAGGAGCATCTTGAATGGCAGCCTGTGAAGGGGGCGGTTCAGATGCGCCGGTCCAGGATTGGCCGTAACCCACCGGATTTCTCCGGGACAATGAGGTAGGGGCTGTAAAACCCGGACCTCATTTCGGCTGGAGGGACAGTCTCGATCGTACCCTTCGCCAGTAGGGTAGCAACCTCCGCTCTCATGATAGGGACATAGCCACCGACCATAGTGGAGCGGACTCCCCTGAAGCGGGGAGGAGACCGTGCGAACTGAATCGCATAGCTGAGCCGATGGTTCGCACGACCCAGCGGAACAGATTGGGAAGCTCTAGCCAGGCTCCCAAGAACTGTGCCAGCGGAGTCAAGCGAACCACAGACGTCCCCTCGGTGGTGCAGCGAAGCGGAATGACCGGCCCAGACATGGGTGGCATAGCGGCCCGGAGCAGGGGCACGGTCATTAGCCGCGTCCTGACAGAGGAGGCCAGGGAAGGACCAGCGTTCCACGGGGGCCTGCTCTGCCAGGGTTCTGGCGACAGAGGGGATGAGAGCGGTACGGTCCGGGGACGGCGCGCACTGTCATCCGACTCTGAAACAGGAGGACGAGGGGTGCACGGTTCGAAGGCGGCGCACCGTGTCGTTCGAGAACTCTGTGCTCAGAGACGGGAGAGTCAGTTCTTTCTGAGAAAAGAGGATTCTCCCCCAGCCCTCCACTGGGGGGAAGGAGTGGGCCTGCTACCACCTCCTGGAAAGAACTGAGTCCCATCTCTGAGGAGCCCGTCTCAGGAGCGCCGCTTAGCCCGGCGTTTAGCGGGGGGCGGGGCTGGAGAGGGCTGTGGCGCCTACCTGCGGCTTCCTCCACAACACAGCCCGGTGAAGCCTGCTGCTGGGGCTGTGCGGGAGGGGTGGGAGCCGCGGGAAGGGGCCCTCGGCTGTGGGCAGACTGAGGGATCTGAGCCGACGGCGGGCCAGCAGCGGGCCGTCGGGGCAGAATATATTGGAAAGCCTCAGTCTGCTCCTGGGCGGTTGAGAACTGTTGGGCAAAGTCCTGGGATATGGGGGTGTCGAGCAGACAAGTCCGGTCAGCACCCTGCACATCAGCCAGGTTCAGCCACAGGTGTCGTTCCTGGACCACATTGGTGGACATCACCTGACCTAGGGAGCGTGCGGCCACTTTCGTCGCTCGGAGAGCAAGGTCAGTGGCGGCGCGCAGCTCATTATAGAGCCCTGGTTCAGTTCTGCCCTCGTGCATGTCCCTGAGCATCTGGGCCTGGTAGACCAGCAGAATGGCCATGGCATGCAGTGAGGCGGCTGCCTGTCCTGTAGCGCTGTAGGATTTCGGAAGTGTAGACGAAAAACTACAGGCTTCGGATGGGTGCTTAGGATCGCGCCGAGAAGAAGCACTTTGAGGACACAGTAGCATCGCAACAGAGCGTTCAACCGGGGGGACCCCAGTGTACCCATGGGCAGCAGCCCC